AGAGGTAGTGCGCGCACAATCTTGCAACTGTATGGCGAGCCTAGAAATAGAAGGAAAGAGGAACGTTGGAGGTATGCAAAATTCACTCTATCATTAACACACTCTCTCTCTCTGATAGCCTTTTTCTTCCTCCAGTGGTCTGACTTGATCGTCGGAGGGTCTATCCGGCACACCACCGCCAGGCAGCTCACCATTTCTGTGTTGCAGAGATAGACGCCGTCACGAGAAGCTTGACGTCCAAGGAGTACGGAAAGCAGAGGATATTTCGCAAGATGAGTAAATATGTTTGGAATACCACATATGTAATGCTCTATGGTATTTTGAGATTACTGAATCAATTACTCATCGTTTTAGTGCCAAAAGAATTGTATATGTATCTGCGTACACGCACACACAAAAAATCTTATTTTTTTATTTAGTGCACTATTTTCAATTTCAAGTTATAATATGTTACATTTTAGGTCCATCTAGATTAAATGAATCCAAAAATTTTAAAGATTTTAATTTTTATTCATAAAAATTAATAAAGATAAAAAAATCCAATTTTTATATTAAAAAAAGTTAATAACATTTTGGTTTTAAAAGTTTTGTCATTTTTGTTCCCAATGTATAAATTGTGTTAATTTAGTCCCTAATATATAAAAGTATTTTAATTTAGTTCTTAATAGCGTTTCAATATGGGAACTAAAAATGTAATTTTTTTTTTTTATGTCCGGGTTATTTACACGTACTTCAACTAATCTCGAGATTCACGCAAAGCTTCCCCTCCACGTGGATTAAGCAAATCTTGGGCAGAATCTACGAGTATGGCCCCAAAGAATTGATAGCACTTAATAGGAGTTAAACTTGAGACTTGGATGGAGTACACTCCTAAACTCTAAACTACATCCACTAGGCCAATCTCTTAAGGTTGAGAACTAAAAATGTAATTAATCAAGCAAAAAAAAAAAATTGAATCGACTTATTTTCGATTTTAGTTTAAAAAATCTACCTAATCTATACTGATTTTTTTTGATAAACTTTGAAATGTTCAGTTTTAAAAAAATAAAATAAAATAAAAATGAACTCATATTTTTCTGTGTCTCTAGTAGATAGGATCTTCTATTTGATTTATTGATTAATTAATTTTTGATTTTAAAATAGTTAGCAGCGTTGAGTATTAAAAGAGGGGCAAGTGTAATTTGTGATTCAATCGCGGTACAGGGCCCGAAAGACTAACGGCTCGAATGGCTCGAATTTTTTCCCGCGTGAAATTTTGATTCACGTGGAGCTCACGTGTTCTGCACAAAGTGATGAAGAAAAATGAAACAAAAGAGCAGAAACCAGAGAGGAGAAAAGGAAGAGAGAGGGAGACGACCACAATGGCGAGAGAAGGTTGCGACCACGACGACGAGGGCGAGAGAGACGACGATGACTGACCTGGTGTTCACTGACGGGCGTCGCTGACCACCGTCCAGCGGTGTTCGGAATCTCCATTTTGTATCTGTAGGTAAGGAATTTGAGATGCATGTTAATACAAAAAACTTTTATCTCAACTGAATCTGGAGACAATTACTTACCTATCTGTAGGTAAGTAATCTGTATGTTGAATCTGTGTATATTCAACAGATTCAACACACTGAATCTGGAGACAATTACTTACCTATCTGTAGGTAAGTAATCTGTATGTTGAATCTGTGTATATTCAACAGATTCAACACACTGAATCTGGAGACAATTACTTACCTATCTGTAGGTAAGTAATCTGTATGTTGAATCTGTGTATATTCAACAGATTCAACACACTGAATCTGGAGACAATTACTTACCTATCTGTAGGTAAGTAATCTGTATGTTGAATCTGTGTATATTCAACAGATTCAACACACTGAATCTGGAGACAATTACTTACCTATCTGTAGGTAAGTAATCTGTATGTTGAATCTGTGTATATTCAACAGATTCAACACACTGAATCTGGAGACAATTACTTACCTATCTGTAGGTAAGTAATCTGTATGTTGAATCTGTGTATATTCAACAGATTCAACACACTGAATCTGGAGACAATTACTTACCTATCTGTAGGTAAGTAATCTGTATGTTGAATCTGTGTATATTCAACAGATTCAACACACTGAATCTGGAGACAATTACTTACCTATCTGTAGGTAAGTAATCTGTATGTTGAATCTGTGTATATTCAACAGATTCAACACACTGAATCTGGAGACAATTACTTACCTATCTGTAGGTAAGTAATCTGTATGTTGAATCTGTGTATATTCAACAGATTCAACACACTGAATCTGGAGACAATTACTTACCTATCTGTAGGTAAGTAATCTGTATGTTGAATCTGTGTATATTCAACAGATTCAACACACTGAATCTGGAGACAATTACTTACCTATCTGTAGGTAAGTAATCTGTATGTTGAATCTGTGTGTATTTAGCAGATTCAACACACTGAATCTGGAGACAATTACTTACCTATCTAGAATTACTTAATCTGTATGTTCTCCACTGAATCTCCATTTAATAATGATCTGTGTATGTTAAAAAAATTCTGCACTTAGTCTCCACTGCAGCTATGTACCATCTGGTTATTGATCTGTGTTTGTTATTGATTGAACATCTGGTTATTGATATGTGTATGTTAAAAAAAAAAAATTTTGGTTGTTCTGGAAGCAAGCCCTCTGTTAAACATTTCCATGGTAGTGATGCATGCCAATTATTTGATGAAAGTCCACATAAAGAACTTAGCCTATTTTTTTTGTTGCTTGAGTTCACATGAAAAATCAGGACTTCCCTTACTGTGTAATCAACTTAACTGAACCATATATTTTCAGTTTGTTTCTGAACTCCCCACCGCAACATAAATTTCCTTGTAATCAACTTAACTCAACCTAGATTTTCAGTTTGCTTTTGATTCTGTTTGTTAAAATGAATCAACCTCCTCGAGCCATGCACCACCTTCTAATCTCAATGTGTTGAATTAATGTCAGTGTTGTTGAATTAATATCAGTGTTAAATTTCATCTCAGTTTGAAAAATTGAAATGCACATACATGCACTTACAGTTTAGTTTCTATTTGGTTTGAAGCTACACGAACTACACACTTCAATGGACATTGATTCAACTAATCCTTCATTGAATAGGAGTGAGGAAGTTGAAGACGCGGAAAACAATCCGTCATTAAATGACATTGGTGAAGTTGAAGAACCTATAAAGGGCATGTGTTTTAGCTCAAAGCAAGAAGTATATTCGTTTTATGCAAAATATGTGAAACTCGGATTTGCTGTAGCATATAGAACACAGAATATTGGACAAGATGGGGAAGTAAAATACTTTGGAGTTGAATGTACTCGGGCACGCAAGAGAACAAAACGATCAGAAATACACCCTCTCGAGCCATCTTTGTTATCATTCATTGACTGTAAAGCAAAGGTTAGAGCAACTCTACAAAAGGATGGAAGATTTAAGTTGACCACAGTTGTCCTTGAACATACGCATGACTTGATTCCTAGTGACTCACGACATTTTGTAATGAATAAGAGAATTCTTACCCCTGTGAAGAGAAGACTAGAAATTAACGATGAAGCAGGAATAGGGGTGGCTAGGAATTTTCATTCTATAGTTGTTGAAGCAGGGGGGTATGAGGCATTAACATTTGATAAACAAGATGCTAGGAATCATATTCAGAGTATGAGAAGATTGAGGCTTGGGGTCGGAGATACTGAATCAGTTGCACTTTATTTTCATAGGATGCAACAATAAAATTCGAACTTCTATTATGCAATTGACCTCGATGAAGATGGTCGCATGCGAAACTTGTTTTGGGCGGATGCAAGGAGTAGGGCAACTTATAAAGCATTTGGGGATGTGGTTTCATTTGACACAACTTACCTCACAAACAAATATGATATGCCATTTGCTCCGTTTGTAGGAGTTAATCACCATGGGCAGTCAATTTTGCTTGGTTGTGGGCTAGTATCTAATGAGAACACTGAAACATTTGTCTGGCTCTTCAAAGAATGGTTAAGTTGTATGTCTGATGTTCCTCCAAAAGCTATAATAACAAACCAGTGCAGAGCTATGCAAAATGCCATTGAAGTTGTCTTTCCAGAAGCTCGACATCGGTGGTGCTTATGGCATATCATGAAGAAAATTCCTGAAAAATTAAGAGGATATACCCAATATGAATCCATCAAGCTTGCTTTGCAAAATGCAGTTTATGATTGTTTTACAAAACATGAATTTGATGAAGAATGGGAAGCGATGATTGGTAAGTTCAACCTAGATGATAATGACTGGTTGGGGGTATTATATAGTGAGCGACACAAGTGGATTCCTGCGTATGTGAAGGATGTTTTTTGGGTTGGCATGTCGACTACACAACGAAGTGAGAGCATGAACGCATTTTTTGATGGATATGTGAACTCAAAGACAACTTTAAAGCAATTTGTTGAACAATATGATAATGCCTTGAGAAGTAAGGTTGAGAAAGAGATGAAAGCAGACTTCAAATCTCGAAACAAATTGTATGATTGCTTAACGATATATGAGTTTGAAAAGTAATTTCGTGCAGCCTACACGAATGCAAAATTTAAAGAAGTGCAAGTAGAATTGAAAATGACTATTGTATTGTCGTGTGAATCTTGTCAAAGAAGAGGGAGCTATTTGTACTTATCATGTGAAAGAGGCTGTTCTTGTGGGTGAGAAAATGAAGACTGTGGAATTTGTTGTGTACTTTAATGCAACTGAATGTGAATTGCATTATATGTGTCGGTGGTTTGAGTTTAGGGGCATTATGTGTGCCCATGCAATTACTGTGCTACTTGCGAGGTGTATATATCAGGTGCCAGATCAATACATTGTATCAAGATGGAGAAAAGATATCGAAAGAGGGTACGCATGCATTCCAACCACATACACTAAAGCCGGGGCTGTTCTTAATGCAAAGTTGCATGACAAATACCACAAGATGTTGGACGAAATCATAGAAATAGCTGCCAACGATGATGGTAAACATGAAGTGCTTGATCTTGGGTTGATAGAAATCAAGGATAAAGTGAGAAAAGATCAATCGGGTAGTGCGAGTCATGCACCACCTTCTACTAGTGACGTGCCACCTTCTACTAGTAATGTACCACATTGTCATAGTTCATTGAGAAGTCTGTCTGCTCGTAGTACTACAAAAGCAAGCATGTCTCGCAACATGCTTAGTCCAATGGTTGCTCGCCGAAGAGGACGTCCATGTACCAAACGGAAGGTTAGCAAAGTGGATGAAATAGTGAATCAGTTGAAGGAAAGAATAAGTTTTTTGTTGTGTGTGACATGGAAATTGTTGAATGTATTTAAGATAAATTATTCACCAAAGCCTCCAAAAGTTGACCCGGTTCATCAATGTCAGTCTCGGAAGTTAAATTTTCCTTTTACCGATGGTACACAAGACAATACTTATCATGAGCCGGTATGTATTTGAATTTTTATGTTGTTGGTTATTTTTTATTTTAATGTCTTCTATGTATAATGAAATTGTGTTATGATGATCATAAGGCGACGCAAACTGCACCTTACTATTTTCCTTGCATGGATGGCACACAACAGAGTATGTATGTACCGGTATGTGGTCAATGTTTAAACTAAAATATTGGTTCTTACTATTTTAATTACTATATATGTTGAATGGACAATATTTGTAAAGTGTACTTCTTTATTGAATAGACACAGTTTAGTCAAATGCAAACGGTGGACAATATTGGAGGCACATCTCATACTCAAAGTTCGACAATCGCTTTCATGGTAATTTTTTATCACTGCTTTTAATTGGGAGCTATATGCATTGACTTGGCCAAGTTCTATATATTAGATGTTTTGATTGGTGAAGGTTGGGATGTAATGGAGATGTTAAAGTATTTAAATAAAGATGTCATTTTTTTCAGGAAGAGGAGCTGCTGTCTTTGCTCCGTGATGAAGAAGATGCAGAATGCTGAATCTGATTCCTGATGCATTACCTGAAGATGGGTGACTGTTGTAAAAAATGCTCACTGACAACTACAAATATGTTGTTGTAAATCATCTATTTGGAGATGTGTCCTTTTACTGCAATGGTCATATTTTGTGTTCAATGATGGCAAATGGATGTTGAATGGGCCAGCTTTTGAATGTATATCTGTCATGCTGAAATGTATATATCTGATAGCCACAGGTTATATTTTATGGTAATATTCCAGGTTTTGAATGTATGTTGAATTTGTATGTTGAATCTGCTGAATTTGCAGAACAGAATCTGCTGAATGAAGCATCACAGAATCTGAATGTTAAATCTGCTGAATCTACAGAATCTAAATATTGAATCTGCAGAATCTGAATGTTGAACCTACAGAATCTGTATGTTGAATCTATGAATCTGCTGAATCTGTCTGTATGTTGAATCTATGAATCTGCAGAACAGGTTTTGAATGCTTAAAGGTTTTGAATCTGTATAACAGGTTTTTAATCTATATGTTTTGAATGTGTATGTCTGTGAGCATAACAAGTTTTGAATGTATGTCTGTGAGCATAACAGGTTTTCAATGTATGTTTTGAATCTGTATGTCTGTGAGCATAACAGGTTTTCAATGTATGTTTTGAGCATAACAGGTTTGAATTAAGGCTTGAATCTGTATGTCTATGAGCAAAACAGGTTTTGAATGTATCTGTGAGCATAACAGGTTTTGAATGCTTCAAGGCTTGAATCTCAATGCAACAATGCTCCACATTTTGTATGATTGAATGCTCTATGCAAACAGATCCATTCTGTGAATCTGCCTGAATGGTCAATCTGTTGTGGTCCATATTTTTAACAAATCCATTCAATCTGCCTGAATGCTCAATCTGTGCATCTGCCTGAATGCACAATCTGTCATGCTCAATCTATTATGCTCCACATCCATTGAAACAGATTCATCATAAAATGGTCCAGGTTATGGTTGTTCAAACAGTAAATTCATCCATTCAATCTGTTATGGTTGTTCAATCCATAATAAAACAGATCCATTGAAATTACATAATAGAATCCGTCCATTACAAAATAGGTTCATTACAAAATACGTCCATTACATAATAGAATAGGTCATTCACATATGTCCATTACATCCATTCAAACACTTCCCAAAATATGTCCATTACATTCATTTACATGATAAAGTAAAAAAATACACAAAATACAATGACATAAGTCATTGCCTTCAAAATTTTCTCCATCCTTTCGAGCCTTTTATCATGCTCACCAACCCTTCTCCTTAGCTCATTAATTTCTTCAGTTCTTATATCTGTGGAGGCAACATCGTTGTCATCATCATCTGCGAAGGCCAAGTAATTGCAGTGTTCGTTCACAGTCTACAATGCAAAAGAATCGATTAATGAAATCAGACAAATGAAATTTGTAACAAGTGAAACATTAATTTATATTACGCATACTTACATATTTGTCTGGGCAAACAAAAAACACGCGTCCCTCATTTCCATTTTCATTCGTTCGTACAATGTGCACGGATGCTGTTCTTCCACAATAACAGAATCTTGGCTTCAATCTTATTCTCATTCCATTAGTAGAAGATGAAGCCATTTTTTAATTTGCATAAAAAATACGAATACATTCAACTACCTCAATCTTGATAACAAAGCCACTTTAAATTCTAATGAATGTTGATTCTTATGAATGTTGAATCCTTATGAATGTTCAATGTTGATAACAAAGTGAATGCATAATATCAATGTTCACACTTACAATGTTTGTTACTCTCTTCTATTGCAGTCACTTTTGTTGTATAATATCAATGTTCACACTTACAATTCTTACAATGCATGTCCCTTATTCTATTACTCTCTTCTATTGCAGTCACTATTGGTCTACAACATTGAGAAACAGATCTAAGGACTTCACATACAATTCTGCTTCAGGTATGGTCTCACCTAGGCTGAAAGATGAATAAACTATGTCATTGAGCATAGCATAAAACTAGTCAAAGGTCTCAGACTCTGTTGTGTAACAGAATGTGTTTAAACTGAATCTAAATCTGTTAGAATGTTTAAACTGAATCTGTTAGAAGCAGAATCTGTGAACATTTTAGTTTAAACTGTTAGAAGCAGAATCCATTTTAAACATTTTAAACTAGTTAAACTAAAATGTTGACCAGTTTAAACTAAAATGTTTACCTGAGCATAGCATTCAACATTGTAACAGATTCTAACAGATTCTGCTTCAGTTTGACAGATTCTCAGGTATGGTATAACAGATTCTCTTATTGGGGATATTGTAACTAATGCTAACAAATGTTGGGTATACCTCCTTATTGGAGTGTGGGACCCAATTGATTTATTAAAAAAGTTTCAATTTGGCTTGGTTTAGGTATAATATATTTTTATATATTATATTTGTGGAGACCTAATTCAATTTGGTAACAATTAGGACTTGTTTTTTTAAAACCCAAGATTCAATATATATATATATATTGTTTATTTTCAAAAGAGGTTGGTACGGCTTTCACAAAGTTATTGTTCAAACTTTTCGATTTCGGAGTTCGTGCCAATTAAATCACCTTTGGTGATTTTTGGTTCACAGCGGCAGTGCTTGAGTTTAACTCAGCGGATTGGTTTCGGTTGATTTGTTTGATTATTATTTGGTGGGTTGATCGGGTTCGTTATTTTGGATCTTCTACAACTCTGGTTCTGAAGATTTTGGTTCATCAATTTGGTGAGGTCTTTCCTCTTTGTTTATTTGTGATTATTTGGAATTCACCTAAGGGTGGTTTTGTGAGACCATTAGTGTCTCGTTTGTAATCGTTTGGAACTTATTTGGTTGATAGTGGAATCGGATTTCGATCCCGTGGACGTACCTCATATTGAGGGAACCACGTAAAAATTCTTGTGTTGCCTTTGATTTAATTTTTCCGCATTAGTTTTTATTCCCATTGATTGATTTACTTGTGGGGAATCATCGATTTTCCCTAACAATTGGTATCAGAGCTTACGGTCTATTTGAGTTTATTTATTTGTAGAAATCAATGGAAGGGAATGTGGGTCGTATGTCTAGCTTCAATGGAAGCAATTGGGTAACTTGGAAAACTAAAATGGAGGACCTATTATTTTGTAAAGATTTGTATGGACCCATTGAGGGTGATAATGGCAAACCCGAGGGTATAAAAGATGATGACTGGAATAGGCTTAATCGAAAAGCCGTTGGTGTTATCCGTCAATGGATTGATGACAGTGTGTTTCATCATGTTGCTACTGAAACTTCAGCACATGATTTATGGAAAAAATTAGAGGGCCTTTATGATAGGAAATCAGCCACAAATAAAGCTTTTCTGTTTCGTAAGTTGGTTAATTTAAAATATAAAGAGGGCAGCCCTATTCCGGAACATCTGAATGAAATAAAGAGTATTGTTAACCAACTTGCTTCTATGAAAATTGTTTTTGATGATGAGTTGTAGGCGTTGATGTTACTTAGTTCTTTGCCCGAAAGTTGGGAGACTTTGGTTGTGACCGTCAGTAATTCGGCGACCGATGGAGTTGTCACAATGGGCCAAGTCACTAGTAACCTGTTGAATGAAGAAACTAGAAGAAAATCAGCCGGTTCTTCTCATTCGGAAGCATTTGTTGTGAGAGGCCGAAGCAAAACAAGAAGGATTCTATATTTTGATTTATATATATATATATATATTCATGTTTATCTAGAGTTATTATTATTATCATATTGATAATTGCAATCACATAAAAAAATTTCTAGAAATCATAAATAGTGATTTCATTAAAATAGTGATTGAATTAATGATAATTAAATAACTCAAATTAATGAATAGAGAATATTGTTGGTTAGTTCCGTATTTATAAGGTTTACTAATTTAGTAGCTGCTAAAGTGGCCTAGATTTGTAAAACTTATGAATATAAAACTACATAAAAGAATTGTTAAAAGGGTAACATTAAGGTCGATAATATTCTCAATTGCAGTTATAATTAGAATATTGAGACTAGCCCAAAGGAGAGTCACTTTCAAATAATTATGAACTTGGTAGGATAATGTAACTTATGTAATTTGACAGATTAGAATTGAATACCCAAAGGTAACATGACTAGCTGAAAAATTGCATAAATTACTTTAGGTCTACATAAGTGATTCTTGACGAGTGGACAATAGATATACCTAAGTTTTGCCCAAAGGAAAGACTTATGTGATATCAGTAGTTCATCATAATTCTCAAAGCTTTAATATGTATATTGTTTATGCCTTTTTCCGTGTTACTTATGAGATCTTGTGTTAATACCTCTTAAGATCTGTAAAAAAGATAGCTTGCTATCTAAGGTGGTTGGACTTGACCTTCCTGGGATCTTACTTGGTTATTGACTAAAGGACCCTTTAGTGACGTTACCCTAACGCTTAAAGTAAAATTTGGTTAAAGGCTGTTGAAGATCGACAAGCCACTTGCTGGCACTATTATGGCTGAATTGACAACAATGAAATATAATGGCCACCGAGGAGTTTAGGATCACATCCTCAATATGGCGACAAGGCTGCAAAACTTAAAACTTTAGGGATGCAAGTTGATGAAACTTTCCTCGTGTAGTTTATTCTCAACTCACTTTCATCACAGTTCGGCGCATTCAAAATCCACTATAACACCAATAAAGATAAGTGGAGTTTGACTGAGCTGACTAATATGTGTGTTTAGGAGGAAGTGAGGTTGAGGGAGGAAAGACGTCAAACTGCATTGGTTGTAACTCATGTAGCTATAAAAGAAAAAAAAAGGGTAAGTTTGTAAAATCAAAGAAAAAATCCACCAAAGAAAAAGAATGAACCTGGGGAAGAAAATCAGGCTCAGAATGGTTTCACTGTCAAGTGCTACTTTTGTGGCAAGAAGGGACATGTGAAGAAAGACTGCAGCAAGCGAAAGGCTTGGTTCGAAAAGAAAGGTAAGAAATTTTCTTTTGTTTGTTATGAATCAAATCTTGCTGAAGTACCTTCTAATACATGGTGGATTGACTCTAGGGCCACAACCCACATTACAAATGACATGCAGGGATACCTCTCAACCAGGAAACCGAAGGAAAGTAAAAGATTTGTCTATATGGGGAACCGTCTCAAAGTTGAAGTCATAGCTGTAGGAACCTACCAACTGATCTTAGACACGGTTCATCAGATGGATCTAGAAGACACTTTTTATGTTCCTTCAATTTGTAGGAATTTAGTTTCGTTATTCAAATTAGATCGTGTTGGATATTCAGTTTTATTTAATTGTGGAAAACTCAATTTAATGTTTAATTCAAAAGTGATTGGTTCTGGTAAT